AAGTAGGTAGTGTGGATGTGCCAGGCAAAGGGATGATTCTTGTCCTGGATAGAATGGATTAGGGTGACAAGAGGTTTCATCACATTCACAGCAACACACAATTTAAAACACGAGCTATTAATTTCTGAGACTTTTTTCCACTTCGTATTTTCAGAACTTGCTTGACCACAGGTGGCTGAAACCAGAGAAAGTGAAGATTCAGATATAGGACAACTACTGCATTCCAATTTAGAGTCTTCTAGCTATTGAGCCCTGTCTGCTCAGATGCAGGGTAGCAGGAGAGAGGGGCGTGGCTAGGCATGGAGAGACAAAACAATTTCAGACCTGACCACTGCATGCTTGGGAGCTAGTATTGGCCAGGTCACAGGCCTGAGCCCGGAAAACCTTGGGTTTTCTCGAGAGTATTAGATTTGGGAGGCTGTGGTCCAGGGATGCTCTCACGGTGTCTCTTCTCTGAGCACAGTCATATTGGATAAACATCCTGGTCTAGTGATTAGGCATGTCCCTGAAGGTGAGCCTGCCTACATATGCCACCCCAAACCAGTGGGAACTGGCTCACCTTCTCTGAGGTCCATCTCCCCAGGGTGGCCTAGGACATTTTAGAACTGGCTCCTGAGGCCAGTCTGGGATCCAGTTAAGGAGAACATGACTAGCTCAGCAGCTGCTGAGTCTCAGCTCTGGGTATGAGACTTCAAAAGGCCTGTGGATGACTGTCACAGACATCATTTATGTCTCTAACTACGCTCCTCTGACTTACTGATGTCTGGGAAGCCAGAAACACTGGCCATTGGCACTTCTGCCTTTTCCCCTGCATGGCTCTGTCACCTTGGCCTAAGCTCTGACACTTTGAGACCTGGGCTCTTTATCTTTAAAGCTGAGGTGGGAGGGCTTATTCTACAACGTGGTCTTGGTAAAAGCTAAATGTGACAGATACAGAAAAGCAAGCTGAAGATGTCTGGAAATAGGATTGTTAGATATCCTCTCAGGACTTTCTTCGGGCCAGTGGTCTAACACTTAGTAAACCCAGTGCCATCAGGGATGGAGAGCATACCTACCGTACAGGTGACAGGAGCACTGTGGGCCTTGTATGCTTCTGTGAGCATCTTGGTCCTCAAAGTAGGTCACCTGCTCCTGAATCCCATATGCAGGGTCAGAGGTGTGTGAGCAGAGACAGTGGAAGGCAGAACAAAGCACATGATGCCAACTGCTGACTGAACACCATTAGACCTGAGCAGCAGAGTGAGCACTCTGCCGGGGGTGCAGGGCCAGGGTGTCGCGGGACCCTACAGACCCTTCTTGCTACACCCTCTTCCTAGGATCTACACAGGCCTGGGTCAGCTTTTTCCAGCCTCGTTTGATATGAGAGTGAGGAAGGTGACCTCTTTGCTTTTGGATTTCATGTTTTACCACTTCAAGGCCAAACAGTTCCCTTTAAAGGGGGCACTGGGGTAAGACAGTGCCCAACAGCAAACTTTAGCTCTTGTTTTGTGTCATCGTCAAGATATGTTTACCTCAACCATCTAAACTATTGCATCTTATGCTAATATAAATGAACTCACTTTTAAAACCTAAATCATACATTTAAAAAAATAAAGCCAATCCTGAGCAGTATTTGAAATATTTCCCTGTTCATATTCACTAGTCATACTTCGGTTATCATTTAAAAATAAATGTATTAATCTATATCTTAAAAATAAGGCTTTCATTACTCATCATTATTACATTTGCAATACCAAATTCATGGAAATAGCCTCGATACCCACCAGTGGATGAAGGGATGAGGTAGCATAAAAGAGAATGAAATTATGTCATGTGCAGGAAAATGGGTGGTGAGCCTCATAAAAAGAAACACTGCGCGTTTTCTCCCTTGTGGAACCCAGAGAAAAGAAGAACAGAAGGATATTAAACCACAGAGGGGAAATAATAAGGATATGGAAGGAAGAGGGAACAAGGAGGTGGGGGAAGATGATCTAAGAAAGACTAACCAAGTAAGGATGGTCAAAGTACAGCGCACACACGTGTGGTAACGTCATACTAAAGTTCCTTACTGTGCAGTACTAATATAGGCTAACAAGACTTATTTAAAAGGCTAAAATCATGATAATAATGCTATCACAGGAGTGCCAACTGAAGCCATTTGTCAGCTTTACACTTCCCCCTGGAGATTTAGTACAAATCTTCACCTTGTGCTGAGAACCCACAGAGAAGGCCAGTCACTGAACTCTGGAGTGAGCTCCCCTGGCCAGGCAGAGGGAAAGAGGAGGTGCTTGGGTGGGGGTAGGAGGGCTCCAGAGGCGACCGTGGGACATACCTGGCTGCAGTCTCCCACCTTGAATCCTGGATAGCTAACCCTGCACATCCAGGAGAGGACACCTTCCCTTCCCTGAGCCTCAGACGTCACAAAGAAGAGGACTTGTGTTCTCCTTAGAAGTAGGTCTGCCCACGCAGGATTTGGGTGCAATTGAGTCCAGATGTAGCATAAACACAGGGGCAGCCCCTGGGAGACACCAGTGTGGCAGAGCATAGAGTAAGTTCTAAAGGCGATGACTAGGTCTGTTTTTGTGGAGTTCCTAGAGTGAACAGGGTTTGAAATTTAAATCATTCACCGACCATAAAATTGCAGAGATTTTATCTAAAACACAGCTCCTTCGCCATCTTATTTACCACCCTAGCCACTTCCTCTCTTCTCCACACCCCACAGCACTTGCTGGCCTTTTTAGTCACTGTATGCTTGGTTGATGGCTTAACTTTGGTACTACTGACTCTTCTCCTACCCCAACCCAGCACACACGCTCCATGACAAAAGAGGTTTTTTGGTTTCTTTAAGTATTCCACACTCTTAGCCCAAGTCTAGCACATAGTAGGGGGTATATAGAAAAGTATTTTAAGGAACAGAGTGAAGAGGGTGCAGATGTACCCGGCACTAACTTCTGTTCTGGGGCCTCAAGGTGTATCAGCCAGAGAGATGACCCCTAGGTCCTTGGGTCCTGGTTAGCTTCTATCTCGCTCTCAGGCTGCATGGGGAAGCCTCTCCCAGCCCCCTACACACCCAGGGCTACCGGTAGGTCCTACTTACCTGATTTTGAAGCAAAAATCAAATAAAATAGCAAGAGCCCTAGGTGTCTGCTTTGACCAGACTTACAGGGGAAGCGCCGCTTGCCTTAGGCGGTGGGTACACCGACTTCGGGCCCCAGGGCAAGCTTAAAGTCCAGAGTAAGGTTTACCCAAAAGCCCCTGGAGTTTTTATTCTGCTAAGCATCAGAGAGGGGGACCAGCCTCTGGCAATCACCAGAGCTGGGGGAGGGGGAGGTGCGGCCACCAGAGGGCGCCGGAGCCCAACCGCTGCCTACCGGTCAGTACGTGGCCGGGTGAGTTCAGAGTTTAGTATCACATGGCGCTCATAACAACGCAAAACTCCAGGGTGCCCGAAAACTGCCTTCTCCGTAAAGCTAGTTTTGGCTTGTTTGTTTGTTTGCTTTTGTTTAGACAGGATCTTCCTATGTTCCCTGGCTGTCTTGGAACTCTCTATGTAGACAAGACTGGCCTGGAGCTCACAGAGATCCACCTACCTCTGTGCAGTTTAAAGTCTTGCGCCACCGCGCCGGGCTGGAATGTTATTTTTTAAACGCAAGAACCAAGAAGATGAGGTTTCTGATTTGAAGCTCAGGGCCCACAGTGCTCCCTGGAATAAAATGCGTGATGAATGAGTGCAAACCCACAGCGCACCTGAGGACGAAGCACTTGGAGAGACTGCAGAAAGCAGACGTACGGAGCACTCCCCTGCTGACCCATTAGCCCCTAGGCGGAGACACTGAGCCCCAGGTCCCACCAGCTTACCCCCCACCCCACCCCGCATTGCCGGGTGACGGAGGTCTGTCCTCACTTTGGATGAACAAGGATCCTGAACCCAAGTCACTAGCTGGCCATACGGAAAAGGTGCTGACAAAGTGGTCGGAACTGCCCGTGGGAGGCCCAAAGAGGCTGCCCACAGCTTGTAGACCCCTAGGCCGCCTGCCGTCCCCCGTCACAGGTCCCCTGCCTGCGTGGTTGGGGCTGTGGCTGATGGCCATCCAGGAGCATGGCGGTGTACTGGCAGGGCTGGGGTCGAGGGTAAGGGTGTACTCTGGACCCCAACGCCTGCTTCCAGTAGCACCGTCGTAGGAAGCTGGAGGAGGGTAGGGAGTTATCTGGTCGTTTGGATCAGGCTGGGCTTTCACTGAGGAAAGGCAGGAAATACTGAAGCTTAAAAAGGTGTTTCCAGCTTCCATTAATTGAGCACCGACTATGTGTGAGACAGAACGCTCAGGCCTTCGCGGGAGGGAGGCTCTGGTCAATTCCCGGTTTCCACTCTGCGGGGTGGGAACTGTGATTACTCCCTTCCACATCTGACCCAACAGCAGTGCAAAGGAGCAAGAGGAGTAAGAAAATCCACATGCGCCTCCAGCCTGGGAGCGCTGCTGGGTTGGCTTCCACAGCCCAGAGTTAGAAGCACTTCCCAGAGGAAGAGAGTAGTTCTGAAAGCGAAGAATGAGCACATCCCCCTAAGCCTAGCCTTCCCGCCTCAGCACCGGGAGCCTGGGCAAGCGGGTCCTTCAGCTAGAGGTCCCGGCACCCAACAGGACGCTCCCCTGCTAGCCCGCAACAGGCCCTTGCCTTAGGAGCGCAGTGCTTTGTCTTTTTCGGGTGCTTGCTCGCAGCTTTCCCCCAGGACGCTCACTTTCCCTAAGTTTCTCCATCTGCATAATGGGATCAATGACCCCTACAGCAACTGCCCTGCCAGGTCTAGGGAGCGGGACCCAGGTTGGAGGATGGGAGTACGGGGTACCGCGGAGATCAAAGATCCCAGCGCCCTGCTGCGCCTGGAACACTGAGGACGCGCAGGAGAGGCGGAGGAGGGGACTGGAGGGGTGGCCGCCCTGCAGGGGACGCGTCAGAGACCCCGGCCACACTCCAGGCCCGCCCCTAGCCCAGCGCCCCGCCCAGCCCCGCCTGGCTTTCGCCTCTAAAGCGCCCTTCGAGCGCCTCCCGCCGCCGCACTTTCACTCTCGGTCCTCGGCGTCCTCTTGCTGTACAGCCCTGCTCAGCGGCGCGCCCTCCCGCCCACGCCATGGACGCCAAGGTCGTCGCCGTGCTGGCCCTGGTGCTGGCCGCGCTCTGCATCAGCGACGGTGAGTGAGATCCGGGCTCAGCCGGAGCCTGGGAAGGGCCGGTAGCTCTGCGCTTCTGCCCTTTGAGGTCCGCGGCTCCTCCGCCCGCCTCTGGGCCGGGGAGAACGAACCGGCTTGGCGCCGCTCGCCACAGGGAACTTGAGGTAGCCCACTTTGCAGGGCGCACTTCCCCCCCCCCCCGGGTTCCCTCCCGAGGTCCCACGGGTCGCACTGGGGTTTTGTGCGCTGCAAAGAGCGGCGGCGGAACCTAGGGGGTTGCAGATCCAGGATGCGCGGGGCGGCGGGTCAAGTGCCGGGCTGGTGCGGAGTGAGCGCGGGTGGGCAGCGGCATCCCCGCTGCGGCCAGACTCCTGCCAGTTGCACCCAGCTACCCTTCCCGCGCCCAGATGCTCTCTGCCGGAGTGCGCGGCGCTGTCCCGCTGCTCTTGGTGCGGGAGATGCTGTCGGGTGGTGCTTTGCACAGTCACTCAAGCAGCCAGAAGTGCAGTGAGGTCGGTAGGGCTGAGCGCCGTCTCCTCCAAACGGAGCGGGTCTCCAGTCTCACCCTCGCGCGGCTCCGGGCCCGGAGCTGGAGGACCGTGCCGCGCAACTGTTGGACTTGCGCCACCGGCTGAGGCAGCGCTTCTGCGCTACCCGTTGGTCCGCAGCGACGCGGACCTGAGCGCTCATCTCTTAACCGCCTCCTTGTCTCTTCCCCGGGTCACTAGAGAGAGGACCTAGGGTCGTCCGGGGCATGCACACCTTCCCCCAAGCACCTCCCCCTCCCCACCACACCTGCAGATTGGCGCCTTAATAGCTAGCAGCGGATGGGAGCTTACAACAGAGTTCAGTCACCAGGACCCCGGGCCACTGGAAACCGTGGTGTCCCATTTCACTGGGAAAGAGCTTTCTTTCTGTTTTCTTTTTTGACTCTGAAGAGAGAACTCTGCGCTGTCACAGGACACCGCTGCTGTAAAACAAAATAAACGGTTGCCTCTGAACATACGAAACAAAACCCTGCCTTCCCTGGCTGCGATGTTTCCGCAGAGAACAGGGATACTCGCGTTCTTGGAGTGATCGCGAGCTGTGTGCGGCTCAGGTGCGCCTGTGCGATAGTCTCTCCCCGGTGGACAACGAGATACTGGTGTAGGTGGCACCGGTGCTCAGCTGGAGAGTTTGGGCTTCCCTGGTCTAGAGAGATGTTCTCTAAAACTAGAGCGAGTTGCTGGTCAGGATAGCAGAGTACCCAGATTGAAGGCAATCTAGAAATCGTGTTGCTGAGGTCTTGGGGAGGGGACTGCATCTTCCCACTGACCCCCCACTCCCAGGCCATGGTGCACTTTGCTTGGGCATTAATAACTGAATGAGTGGGTGAAATGGGAAGTGTCATAGTGCACCTCTCTGGGAAACAACAGGTTGGGTATGAGGAGACAGGAATGCAGGAACCTGGGTCTTCAAGTCTAGAGGGCAAAATCCTGGAAAGTATTGGAGAGGAAGAGAGGTGGGTCACTCACTGACATCTTCTGACCCTGGGAAGATTTGGCCTGTTAACTTCTCTAGAGTCAAGGGTGTGGCTCAGTCCAGGCTCTCCAGGCAAGACTCATTGCATTACCAAATGAGTATCTTTCTTTACCTCCTGGCATCTATGTACCTTCTGGCCCCACAGAGTACCCTCTGCAATGTGGTCATCCTTGCTAGGGCTTCTGTCCTCAACCATCAGCTGGTTTTATTAAGCATTTGGGCCCCTGGGTACCCTAAGCATCTCTGACTAAACCCAAGTATGAGGGGCTCCCTAGGCCAGGTCAGAGAAACTGTGCAGGGCTCTGCCTACATTAGAGTGGGATGTTCTCCAGAAACTGCTGTAGGTCCCAGGTCCAGGGTGACATGCGGCCAGCAGGGACTTTGGCCTGTACACAGAGTCACATCAAAAGCAGAAAAGTTAGCAATACTGATCAAAAAGCTGTAGAAAGTGGGGCACTGCTGAGTTCTCTCAAGAACACCCAGGACTTTGGTTACTCTTGAAACTGATTGAGTCCCTAAGCTCTGGTATCTTGAAGGTAAAAACAAGAATTGCCTTTGGAGAAAATGGATAAGGTTAGCAGGGCTCTGTTTTGAGCTCTGATTTCATGGCAGGACCCCCACTGCTTGGTTAGAGGGGGCAGGCAGCTTCTCATGGCTCGAGAGAGAAGCAGTTCCCACTGGGCTCTGGGTTTGGGATTAGTTGTGTTTCACCCCTGGTCTTTAGTTTTCCTGCTCCTGACAACCCAGAAAAATCCAAGGGAAATGCAGACCCAGAAGAGGTACTATACTCAGAGTGGAGACCTGAGGTCCTGGTTGCCCAGGTGGCCAGGTCCTACTCCGAGTGGGTCATTTTTCCAGGCGATCTGGTTGTGGAGACTGTACTGGTTTCTGTGCAGGGATGGTACAGTTGGCTCATGGTGTTTTAATGCACTTTAATACTAAATATTGTTAAGGTTTTCGAGGAATTGTGGCTGGCATTTCTTTTAAGGCATTTTTTCCTCTGGCTTGGTGTCTAAATATATTGTTGTTCCCAAGCCACACTACCCTCAGCTAAACTAAGCCTGTAGAAAAACTAAGTCCATAACACATAAGACTTGATCCACATCTCCATCCTGAGATCTTCTGTAAACAAGTAAACTTACAAAACAAATTCCTGAACTAAAAATTCTTATATTTAATCCTTGATGAAAGAATCCACAAATTGAACTATTTGGGGATATTAAATAGGGCTAGGATACAAATCTGCAGGGAGAAAATAACAAAAACTACATAAATTCCAGCCTCCAGGGCTTGCAATTCTAGACTTAAAGGGTGAGTCTTAAAAGGGGTTCTAAAAGAGCCCCTTGCTAATTTACACTAATGAGTGTCAATTATGGCATTTTGCAAATTGGTGAATTGGCAAACAAAGCCCGTAATGAGATCCAGGAGGCTGAGGCATCCCTGGACTGGTCATAAAAAAACACATTTGACTCCATCTAGCCTTGGGGAAGTGCTAGGGAAAAGGTGAGCCCAGGGCCTGCCCTCTGGGGACTCCAGGTAGGAACTCAGCCTGGATTCTTTTGTGGTTTCCAGGGCTTACAGTGAATGGGAGGAGGGAAAACTGCAGGTAGGGGAGAGTACCACTAGGAGGGGAGGGGGAGGGAGAGAGGCGGGGGTGG